CCATTATTTTCTTTCCAAAGAACATTGTCTAAGCAGGGGTGACCCGATCCTAACTAAGGCCCCAGGCAAAATTCTTAGATGAGGCCCTTCTAATTATTATTATAAAAATATACTAAATATTTGTTTGGTTATTTAAATAAGAAAATACATTTGTTTAAAAGCTTTTTTTTATTTGAGATGCAAAATTGCAATTTAAAATTTTGTATTCAATCTTTTTAGCATATCTTTTAAATAGAGAAAATCCTCCCAATATCTAATAGTTAATATAATAGTAAGATATTACATTTTAAGTCTAATGATGGACACGCAAGTGATGCGATTAATCTAGCGGTTGTAAACATACATCTGACTTTTGCACCTAGGTCTGAAAGTTTTAAGGTCTTAGGAGTAAAATTGGATTTGATTGACCTTAGTACACAAATTTTATTTGCCGACTTAAAGCAAAATTTTAAATTAATTATGTTTGAGAACGAAAATTTTATTTGAAGTCATAAACAAAAAAATAAAAAATAATAGGTCTAAAAATTATATTTGAGCCTTAAGAAACAAAAAATTGACTTAAAATGTATCAAAAAATTTTATTTGGGAATCTTACAATAGAATCAGACTTAATTAAACAGTGAAAAAAAATGGACTTTAAAAATAAATTTAGACTTAATTAAAGCTTAAACTTCAAACCTTAAAAATAAATTAAACTTAATCAAACAAGAATTGTAATGTGGGTATGCACAATTTTCATACGAGGCAAATGTGTGGTTATGGGTGTTTCGCCTGTGTGGCACCTGTTTAATATTTGGACCACATTCTTACAATAATGTATTGGTCCCCTAAAACAATTGGACATAAATGGAGTGGGGCCGGCCGGAGTCTGTAAAATTGGATGAGAAGTAATTGTAATGTGGGTATGCACATTTTTCATACGAGGCAAATGTGTGGTTATGGGTGTTTCGCCTGTGTGGCACCTGTTTAATATTTGGACCACATTCTTACAACAATATATTGGTCCCTGAAATAATTTCGTTTTTTTTTTTGTTTGACAGTCAGAGTATTCGGATTAATTTACGCACACCTCGACTAATTCCATCAATGGTTCAGGATCATCCATGCTTGAACTAGCGTATTCACGCAAGATAAATCCCTCATGACCTGACCAAAGAGATTGTTAAAATTCAAACTCAGAACGCTTGAGTTTACAACTCATCTCTCTTTGTACTAGAACTACCATTTTGGGTTAAATAACTTTACTTTCACAGAAGAATTGAAAACCACTAATTACTCCTTCACATTCAGCCTTAAATCACAAAGCCTAGTTAAACTCCTCTCTGTGTGAAGCTGTGTGAAGTAAAATATGGATGGATATATACATAACATGTGCAATGCAACTACACTTCTCCGAATAAAGGCATATACCAGTGTCCAATAGCACAGACGGAGGCTCAAGCTCCTCAACTAAGCTGCAATCTACACCATCAGCTTCAAAAGCCAAAAAACAACTTTGGAGTTGCCAAGACAAGAATGTCCACATAGGCATTATCCTGCTTCACATCGATCTATCCTTCAGTTCTCAAAACCTGCATGATAGTTTCAATAGACCAGCATTGTTAGGTACTAGTGACATATTTGCTCACAATTCCTCCCATCTGCTAACAGAAGTTGCAAAAATTATTTTCTGGTGTTAGGAATAGAAATCAACCGTGATGGATTACACAGATTTGCACTGTGTAAAACCCGAGGTCAATAAATGATAAATAATGATAATAATAGTTATTATAATAAAGTAACAACTACAACTTAATTAGTGTGAGTGGGGATTAATTTGTAATTTACCTAATAAAAGGGGCTAAGTAAATTTCTTGTAAAACTCAATACTCAAAAAATATATTAGATTAGACCTATGATATAAGGCCTTTTATATTAAACCCCAAATGCCCTAGAATGCATTTGGGAAGCAGCCGCCACTTATGAGGGAGAGACAGAAGAAGGAAAAAGAAAAGGGGATTATGAATTTATTAATTATTTGATGAATTCTATAATTTATTCAATCACATGGTACTAGCGTTTATCATAATGGAGTGTATAATGAGTATAAATGTATGTTCATGGTGAAAAATAATAGTGAATATGTAAATAAGTTTTATTTTAAGTTGTTAATTTAGGTATTTTTAAACCTAATTTAGATTTATTGTTTCTGAGACTTTTAAAGAATTTATTCAATGTGTTAAAAAGTAAAAAGACAACAAAGGGGAAAAGGAAGAAAGTTGCAGGAAGAAGATGGATTCCTTAAAATTATAGAAACATCCCTTTTAGTTTTAAAGAACTTTATTTTGACCACAATATTGTTCTAAACTTAATTTTAACTACTGTTTTAATTGGTAAGTTAGAATAATAGAATTTTGAAAGTTTTATAGTAGTCCCTAAAACAGAAAATACATTTTTTTAGAAAAATTACACTTTGACCTTTAAGTTTCAAAAAATATAATTTAACCCCAAATCTTTAGAAACTTTTTCTAAATTACCCAGATTACTTTCATACCCTATTATATCATATTCAAAAGGTCATTTCTATGTGAAAGATATATAAAATAAATATCAATTGGCAGAAAGTACAAAAAATTAAATATAGAATCGCTGGATTTCGAAATTAGGAATAAGGATCTATTGTTACATGTTATTTTGAATTAGATCATGATTGCATTGTAATTAGGAAAGAGGGTTATGAATTGGAGTTCAGGAATTCAGGTGAGTAATTTACTATTTCTTTTGTAAGAATTTTCTATATTAAACATGTGGGTGCATATGAGTGGATATTTCATATATATGATATATATGTTGATGTTTGGGGTTGCAATTAAATAGCTGTGAATTTTGAAAACTTGTGGGATAATTTTATATTATTGGTTAAATGTGCTTTGGTGATAAAAAAGAAATTTATGTGCGTTAGGACTAAAACAACAATTTTAGTGTGTATTAAAATCATGTTTTATGAAATGGAGATTAAGTTACTATGTCTAAATGGTAATGACATTTGTAGGTATAACAGTGTGATTAGTATAAGGATATGCATATAGGGGTCAATAATCAGGTTAGTGATAAAAAAGACGGGACCAATTATTAGGCTAGTGGTGACAAGAGACACGGTCAGTTATCAAGCTAGTGGTAACAAACATGATATGACAAGTGTATTTGAAACTGAATGTGAATGCGGGTGTTTTGGGTTAAAATGTCTTTTAAATTATAAAGTCATTTGTGAATATGAAATCATTTTTATCTAAATGATTATGTGAAAAGGACTGGGATACAATTTATGTACTTTTGTATGTATCAAAATTTATTTTGTTGTATTTAAACTATGAGATTTATTTTCACACCTCATTAGAGGTGGTTGCTATTCACGGGTTGTCGTGCTTATACAAACATTAATATTTTTCAGGTGAGGATCAGTATGAAGAGTAAGTTTGCAAATAGACAAGGGAATAGAGGACTTAAAGATTTATTCTATTGTAGATCTTCAAGATTAAGTGTCATCTATGGTTTTGAGACAAGTATTTAATTATTTTGGGAACAATATTATTTATGTTTGGAGTTATAAACCTTATGGTTTGATTATGGTTTTACTTAGTTAATAATATATTGGGTGATGTTTAGTTTATTGCTCTGACATTTATTAGGTTGATGAATTGGACCACATTATTATATGTCTTCTGTTGTATGCATAGAGTTAATTAGTTAAGGCCTTAGTGACCGGTCTGTTACCCATCCTACGTGATCTAGGGCAGGGCTGTGACACACTGCCCGCTTGTTAGTTTATTTTATTTTTTGGGGGAGGGTGGGGGGGATTTATATTCCAATCTAAAATGCATACTTCAAAATAGTTATAGGAGATAATGCATTTGCTTCTGCTTTGGAAATGTAATGAAATTTGCCCCCTTATATTGTTAGCAGGGCACCGTAACGGCCGTTACATAACGATAACGATGAGTTCCGATCCCGTTACACCCCGTTATAGTGGATAGAATAAATTTCACGTCAATAACGGCCATTACGGCATTATAACAGGATGTAACGGGCGTTATGAGAGTATTACAGTCTGTTACGCCGCCGAAACAGCCTATTTTTATTGCTTCTGGTGCTCATCCACGACGGTTTTATGGTTGAAAGAGATGATCGACTAAAAAGCCGACGAGTGAAGTTTTGTATGTTGAGAATTGACAGGTTGTCGTGGGTTGATAGATTTTTGGAAAGGCAAAAATCAAGTGGAGCAAATTCTTTCTACAACTTATATATTGAATGGTTGTTATTCATTATCAACAAATTTAGTCAATGAATAGATGACAAGTGTTATGTTTTTTAATAATGTGAAAGAATGATTTTAAATAGATTAAAAATTTGTAGGTGGTGGGATCCTTCTTGTACGAATTTACCAGCTAATAATTTTTATTTATAATTGCAAATTTTTTTTTTATTTTATCCCAATGATCTAAATTTATTTTGAATACAATTTTTAAATAAATAGATATTAATTGCTTAAACTAATTTACTTTCATTTGCTCTAAATTTGGATTAATTAAGCAATTTAGCATATCAAAATCATGAATATAATAAAAAATTATTATAAATTACAAAAAAACTGAATTTATTTTATTTTGGTCCAAATATATAAAAAAATTTGATTTTTACCGATAGTTATGAATGAATTAACAAAATTCATAATTTCGATTTTTATTACTGTTACGTTACGCCCGTTACATCCCGTAATCGTTACACCGTTATTAATATCGTTACATCACCCTTTACTGTTATTCAGGACTTTTAGAAACCATAACAAACCTATCTTGAACTTGACCATCGCTTCAGTATGAAAAAAAGTTTAAATATGAAAAATGAAATAAGTCTAATAAATGCAAGTTTTCTCTCATCTCTCTCCTCTATAAATTCCCTCCATCCATCAGTACTTCCATTGTAAAACACTAAAACATTCATCACTCTCTCTCTCTTTCACCATGGCTACATTGTGCACAGCAACACTTGGCAGTTATGTTTTACCAAAGAGTCCATCACCGGCTCATTTGTGTTCCTTACAGAGAGGAAGCCAATTCATTACGGGCCCTATTGGGGGTGTCCCACATTGGAAGAGTGCAAGGAAGGGTTCGTCTTCGTCTCCTTCTTTTACCATCAGATGTTTGAAAGGTGTTGCAGCCCCTACACCCGATATTCTTAGTCGCCTTTTCAATGGAGGAGTTGTCCCAACCCCTATTCCAGACCCAACAGTCGTTACAAGACAAGACTTCCCTCCTGATTTCATTTTTGGCTGCGCCTCTTCTGCTTTGCAGGTCACTCTCTCTCTCTCTCTCTATGTAATATATATATATTATGTGTTCATATTGGTCATTGTTGTGGGTGTTAATTAAAATTCACAAATCTAATGGTGCAGAACACTAGTGTGAAATAAAAAAAAACCTTAGACTCCACTGATGATGCGATAGACCTAACACTAGTTGAAGCATAACATATTAGCACTAATACAATAGAAAGACTACTGGACTATTAACAAGTATGTTGTGAACAGTTCTAATAATAATAGATTAATTGATGGAAAAAACCAAATATAAAGTTAATACATATTCAAAATATAAGAGTAAAATAAAAGAGCTCACATGTGAGTTCGAGAGACGTGCAGGGTTGGCCTTCAGGCTAGGCAATCGAAGCTGTTGCTTAGGGTCCCATATTTTTTGGGTCCTCAAAAGAAAATTTTGTTTTTATGGATTTAGATTTGCTTAACTATAAATTATTTTTTTTAAAATTTTTTTATTTAAGTTTAATTAAGTCTAAATTGATTTTTAAGGTCTCAAATAAAACTTTTAGAGCAATGTTCAATCAAATCAAAATTTGTTTTTTGGACCCTTAATTTTTTTTATAGACGGCGATTCAATAAATTCAAATTTTTACTTTTATAAGTTTTATACTAATATGATATTCATTATATTAATC